GTAGAAAAATGTGCAGTCTTTGGGAACATATGGCATTCAAGTGTAAAAATACTCTGCTTTCATTGGTATGTTTTCCTTCCACTTTAAGGTAGGATGGTTGTCCCCACGTAGTACATCAGCAGGAAACAGAGAATTCTCTTCCCTTTGCCTCCTTCCCATGGGCTCTAATATCTCATCTGAACTTTCCTTTCTTCCCTTAAAAGATAGGTCTCTCAACCTTCCTCTTTCCCAGAGGCAGCAAACTGTGAATGCGTTTCCCGGGGTACAAAGTGACAAAGCTTTTAAGGTACTACCTCATTTTGCAAAGAGATGACAGTAACGATAGTTTACATTTGTATCATTTTAATTCTTTCAAAATGCTTTACATGCTGGTCTCAGTTGGTCTCAATTCTCCTAAGGTAAGCAAGATAGGTACAAATGATACAAATTAATAGCTAGTTTACTGAGTGTCTGCTGTGTGCCAGGCTTTATGTTAAGGGGGAAACATTTCTTGTCCTCACCACAACCTCTGAGGCAAGTATTATCATCATCCCAATTTTGCATATAAAGAAAAACTGTAGTTTGGAAGTAACTTGCTATGTCTTTAGCTGGTGGGGAGTACAGGCAGAATCTGACTCAAGGAGTCAGGCTCCAGAATTAAAGTTTTCAAGAGAAAATGATAGAGGTAGCTAGGAAAGTAGGTGGCAGTGAACTGGGGAGAAAGAAATGCCACAGGATGATGGAAATTTAAGAATAGAAAGAAAATTTAAGAATTTGGAAACTTGTAATATTTAGTTTGAAAGAGCCAAGATGCAACCAGGACATCTGTAATCCGGGCATTTATCTTTTTGAACCTGTTCCTATTTTTAGCCAGATTCTGCTGCTTTTGGTCTCTTCTTGAAAACACTACCTGGTTAGGACTGTGCATGCCCAGGGTGGTTAGTTTTACAGAAAGGTTAGAAGCTAAAGGAAAGATGGGAGATTTTTGCCTTTGAGATAGGCTGTCTAGATATTTTCTTTCTCTCCCTCTCAATCTGGAAATTAGTACTACTTTTTGAGAGTGGAGAGCCTGACTTCCACTTTGGAAAACCAAAAGTTTCCAGAACTTTCCAAGCTTGCCCACTTGGGAAAAGTTGGGTTTTGGTGTCAGCAAGATTTGAGTTGAAATCCTGACTCTGATAATATTAGGTGTGTGATGTTAGACACATGGTGGTTTGGCTTATACTCTCTGAACTTTTGCCCACACATGTGAGCAGAGCTGATACCCACTCTAGGGGGCTTTGTGTGGATTAGAGACAACGAATGTGCATTGCTGCTGCGGGCCAGCAGCAACAACTGAGGAGAAGGGAGAAGAGTTTGCTGGGTTGTTCAGTAGCCTTCTCCTGGGACTCTTCCCCACTCTCCTTGTGTGTGGGAGGGAGGGAGGGCAGGGGTGAAGGCAGGAGATCTGTGCAGGATGTGGGAGGGTTGGCAGACCCCTGCAGGGAGTGTGAGTGAGCTCAATATGCTCAGAGCATGTGGGAGCCTGGCATCTTTCAAGGCTTGAAATTCACGTAGAGGATGAAATATAAGAGAGGATAAAAGAGTATCCAAGCGGCACAGCTAGTGCTGACGTTGGCAGAGGTGAGTGGTGTGACCCCAGGTGTGGTTTGCCCATAATAAGGGCATTCATGTAAGGGGAGCTGAGTGATCACCCGGGTTCCCTTTCTTCTCTCTCAAGGTTGTCAGATTCAGTAATCTTCAAAGCCACCCTAGAGCAACTTCTGGCTCCAACCAAATTCCCTTTTCTGACCCCTAGCAAATCTGCCTTCCCTCCTCCCAAATGTTCTACCTCTATACAAGTAATGTTGATTAGAGTCTTTGACTAAACTGCCATTTATGTCAAATTGCTACTCAACCAAATAAAGAACATGTAGATTATTAATCGCTATGTCGGAGTGACTGCTGCCAGTTGTATTTTAATTATTGCTCTCATAGCCTGGCCCCAAGCTCCAAGTATTTGCAAATTTATGAATACCCATCATCTTCCTTTATTTAAAGAATAGCCAGGGTAGCAAGAGCACTGCTCAGGGACAGAATCTTGACTTCGACCCCCTTAGAAAAAGAACGACCATAGACAAGGCACTTAACTGTCCCAAGCCTCAGATTTGTTGTTTATAAACAACAGCTTGTCTCCTCCCAGGGATCACATTTAGTGTGTAAAAGAAAATATTTGAAGGTGCTATGTGAACCTAATATTTTGGACCACAAATCAGTGTTTTCCTTTCTATTCCAATCAGTACCGTATGTGTTACTGAGCCAAATAAGCCAGTGCTGACGATGGTACTCCATTCATTGTAAAATCTTATCTGTAGCTGCTTCTACGGTTCAGTTAAAGCTGTGGTGGGCAAAAGCACTGAAGTCTATTTCAGGTCAGTTCTGGAAAAAAACACAAAGGGGTGGTGAGGGTGGAAAGGCAAGAATAAAAAAATCGGATTGTGAAATAATCCGTCTTAGAGCTGAGATGCTGGTCATTGATTCCATTCTGATTGACCTGGTTTCTGGGCTCCTATAGCTGGTAGTCTCCCAAACTCCTCAAGGTTTATTCTCAAAATGATGTTCTTTTTCCATTCATAGGAAAGAGGAAGTCATTCATCTTCCTAAAAACACCACTTTCACCCTATTACTCTTCTTCATAAAAGCCTTCAGTGATGATCTATAACTAGAAATTGACACTGGATTGCGATTTAGAATCCACCCCATCTCCACACCTCCCACTCACCACCACCAGCCCTCCTTATTTACCCCTCTGTCTCCTCTAAAGCCAGAGACGCCAGCTAGATTGGTTTCTTCCAGGTTCCCCAAGTGACTGTTCCTTCCTGATAAGGGCCTTTGCTCCTTCTTCTCTTCTTTCCTGAAATGAGTTTCTCCACCCTCTCCCTACTTCTCATGTGTAATCATAATCCCACTTGAGCCTTAAGGTCTTGCTTACATCTCTTCCTTCTGTGAAGTCTTCCCCATGCACAAGTTCCCCCTGCACTGCTGTGGAGCCTCTCTCCAGCACGTCTGTCATGGGGACATCTTCATCACAGACCAGTCCTAGAGATGGGCTGGTTTGTTTGTTTCTGGGGAGCCAGAGCTTGTTCTGAGCAGCATTCTGCTCTTTCTCCATAGACATGAGAAAAGTGGGTGTCCATCATATGCTTCAGAGGACTGTGTCCAGAAAGTCAGGCAGGACCCAGAATCATGTGGCTATAGCCATCAAGACAGGCCCATATAACTGCTCTGTAAGGGGTGACTAATTTGTTTTGTTTGTGGGAGTAACTCAGTCAAAATGAAGGTAACTCCACCCAAGAACTCTATTAGAAAAAACCCCAGCTGGAACCCTCTTCTCCTCGGCCCTTGTAGTAAGGAAAAAGAGGCAAAGACTCAGACACTAACACAGCAGCATGTGTGCCAGGCACTGTGCCAGGAACTGGAAGTGGATTATCTCATTGCATTCTTGCAAAGTCCTGATGAGGTTAGTACTACCATTGTCTCCATTCATAGCTAAGAAAGCAGAAGGTGTCCAAGTAAGTAGTAAGGTTGATTTGAACCCAGTTTGTATCTGAGGCCAAAATCTAGTCTACATCAGTGGTTCTCAAAGTACGGTCCTATGAGCAGTAACATCAGCATCTCCTGGAAATTTGTTGGAAATGTAAGTCCTTGGACCTCACCCAAGTCTTACTGAGTCAGAAACTCCTGGCATACGGCCCAGCAATCTGGGCTGTCATAAGTCTTTCTGGTGATGCATACTCAAGTTTGAGTACTGTTGCTCTACACCAAACCTCTCACAAGAGGATCCCTTATAACTCAGTCTATAAACCATACTAGCATAGGAACATTCCAAGGTGCTGGCTGTGTATCTTGGCCATGGTAAAAGTCCCATCTGACATTTCTTTGCTACCTGGTTCCTTAGCAAGGTACACCTAGGGCTTTAAGTGTGCCTGTAGGTTTTGAGGATAGTGAGAGGGAATTTAAAAAAGAAAAACCTAATTTCTTCAAGTTTTTCTTGACACAGTTTATCACAATCTGACCATTTTGTTTTATTTGCCCTATGCTTATGTTGACTGCCCATACTGCCAAATTTCCACTAGTTAATGTATTTTTGGTCATTCATTCCATCATTTATTCAACAAACATTTGTTGGGTGCAAATAGGCAACAGGCACAGTACGAAGTGCTGGTGTTTGAACAGTGAGTTAGAGATCACCTGGTTGGCCTTCTGAGACCCTGCAGTAAGCAGGGCTTCAAAAGCACTGCCGGGGGTAGGACGAGGTACTGTGGGAAACCGGAGGGAGCCCTCTCCCAGACTTGCAGTCAGGAAGCTGCTTGAGGCGGGGGGTTCAGCTGAGGACCTGAGGAGTGGATAGTGGTTAGCCCAGGGAAGAGAGTGGAGTGTTGTGGGTGATGGGAAGAGTGCTCCAGGCTGAAAGACTCAACTGTGGGAAGACCTGGAGAACACCACCTGGAAAAAAGAATGGTCCCCAAATGGGAAGGACTGAAGCGAGTTCTGAATGGCTACAGCCTTGAGGGTGCAGTGGGGCATGAAGGCAAATAAGGCAGCAGAGAAAGACAGGAGGTAGACCCCACGTGCCTCACAGGCCTGGTTACAGGGTTTGAACTTTTTCCTTAGGGACATGGGAAAATATTTTAAAAAGAGAAGTAATGTGGGAAAAAAATGTATTAGTAAGTTCACTCCAGTACAAATATGACTTTGTTTTAATACAATTCTTTTATTGTTGGGTGTGTGTTATCATTGTTAATGGTCTATAAGTTCTTGGGAGTTGTCCTTTCTCCTTTCTTTCTATCCCTCCCCCTGAATGCCGAGTGCATTCTCCCCTCCATGCCCTGCCTAGGCCGAGTAAGAGCTCAGGCCCTGCCAGCTCCGACCAGAGGCAGGTAGGAGGGCAGGCAGTGTGTCTTGCTCATTTGCATTGCTTTTTTTTATCCCGTGCATAGAGGTAGACCATCTTCAGCATTGTCTCCTGCTCTTGGCTGCAGGGTGCCTGTCCTTGCTGGTGACGGTCCAGCAAACAGAACGCTATGTCACCCTGTTTGCCTCCGTTGTCCTCAAATGTGACTACACCACTTCTGCCCAGCTCCAAGACGTGGTGGTGACGTGGCGCTTCAAGTCCTTCTGCAAGGACCCCATCTTCGACTACTACTCTGCGTGTGAGTGCCCTCCCGCTTCTTGCTTTCTCCGGGTCCCAGGCACCTCTGTAATGTACTGCAGGTAGGGTTCAGGAATTATTTAGGGTCACAAAGCCTTATAGTGAAAAGAAGCCACAAAGATTACCTAATGCAGGTCCCTCATTTTATAGATGAACAAAGTGAGCCCAGGCAGGTGAAATAATGTATTCAATACTAGTTTATGTTAAAGAAACTATTTAGTTTATTTATACTACTACTAGTTTATGTTAAATTTTTTTTGCCCCACATTGTTCTAAAATGATTTAAGGCAGCTGAGACATTAAGTAAAAGGCAGAGCAAGTCCTGCCTCCTAGTCCACTCCTAGTTCCATAGCAGCACACAGAGCTGGTGGCGCAGCCCCACCATCAGCCCCACCGCCTTAGCATGCAGACGAGATGACTCCCACACTCCTCAGGATGCATGGGACCTAGTGGTCATGTGTGGAGCCTCCTGTCCACTGCCACATTCCCTTCTACCAGACTTTCCTGGTAGATGGCCTTTCATCTGCTGAGTAAACACTTTCCATGAGGGAGAGCTCACTGCCACCATGCAACCCATCTGTTATGGGACATCTTTTAGTGCTGTACAGCTCTCCCTTACGTTTCGCCAAGTCTGGCCTCTCAGTGACAAGTGCCCCACTCACATCAGTTCTGCTGTCTGGAACCAGAGTTCTTCCCAAGCTGCACGCCTCTGCACCATGCAACCCATCTGTTATGGGACATCTTTTAGTGCTGTACAGCTCTCCCTTACGTTTCACCAAGTCTGGCCTCTCAGTGACAAGTGCCCCACTCACATCAGTTCTGCTGTCTGGAACCAGAGTTCTTCCCAAGCTGCACACCTCTTCCCTCTCTCAAGGAATGGAGGAACCCAGTACCCCACTGTCAGCCCAAGACAACCTTTTAGGAATTTTGAGAATAGAAGTAAACACCCTGATCATAGGAAGGAAATGAGCTTCCTGAGATGAGACAAAGGGAGAAGAAGGCCTCAGCTTTACCTTTTTTAGCCCTGGGGGTAATGCCTCACAGTCTGATTTGTGTAGAACCACAAAAGCTGGCTGGCTGAGCCATCACTGAGCCTGGCACTGTCCCCAAAAGAATCCTCTCTAAATTGAAGCATTGTTTCCTGGGGATTACTCTTAAAATGTCTGGGTGAAGTGGGAAGGGAGAAGAGACTGGAATAGTAGGCATTTGCCATGGGAAGATTAACAGTTCTCAAAACTTACATCATAATGGCAGATAGAAGACCAACCCCATGGGAACAGAGGCTGAGGTGTCTTTGAAAATGAGCTGAGGCAAATTGGGATGGAAGGCGGAGATACAGCCAGGATTTGGAAATAGTGGCCTTTAGCAAGTCTGGTGTCTTGCTGCTCAAAGTGTGGTTCCTGCCATCACCTGGGAGCTTATTAGAAATCAGAATCTGAGATCCCACTCCAGACCTGCAGAATCAGAATCTTCATGTTTAACAAGATTCCCAGGGGATGCATAGGCTTGGGAAAAACTGAGACAATGCAGCGCTCCAAGGAGAAGCAAGGGCACCTTCTTTGTGGGGATCCCCCATTGCTGTATGACTCGGGTGTGTCCTCTCTCTTCAGCATACCAGGCAGCTTTATCCCTGGGTCAGGACCCATCCAATGACTGCAATGACAACCAGCGGGAAGTTCGCATCGTGGCCCAGCGGCGGGGGCAGAATGAACCGGTGCTGGGGGTGGATTACCGGCAGCGCAAGATCACCATCCAGAACCGTGAGTGCGGGGGAGGCGGCAGGGGAACTGGGGTGGAGGGGATGCAGTTACAGGCCCAGCAGGCTGAGTCAGCGTGGGATTTCCCTTTTTTTTCTGCTGCCTTATGATCTACTTGGTCACTGTCATTGTTTGAGAAAAATGCCAGATTCAAAGAATGTGCAGCAAGCACATCTGAAGTTACTTCCCTGGAAGTTGGTTTCAGGGCCAGAGGATGTCCTACAGCTTTGGCTGGAGGTCTGGATGTGGGTGGCTTCTTTTGCTTTCCTGAGATTCAGGGCTAAGGTGTAGATCAGTTTCCTTTGATCCCTTCTACAAATGGCTCTCAGGGCCTACTCAAACCCCAGGTCCCTGAGTTCCCCTCTGGCCACCATTCCTATTGCCCATATGGAAGGAAATAGGGGCTTTGTGTAGATGACAACTTGAGACCACTGCCCTCCACTGACAGAGGAAAGAGCATAGGGCTTAGAATAAAAAGCCCTGGGTGAGAGTCCTGGTGCTTGCATGCACTAGCTCAGTGACCAGTGACAGATAGGTTATTTTCTCTTGTTTCCTCCTCTGAAAGATGGGCATGATGGCACATTTAATAAAGACTGAAGTGTTTATTAAATGTGGTGTCTGAGGGGTGTGTCTAGAGCACGTCTTTTCTGGGTGCCTGGTGCAGGGAGCTGTGGTTAGGGCCTTGGCTCTGAAGTCAGACTGATGCATCTCTATTCTGCACTTACAGGGTATGTGAACTTGGGCAAGCCCCTTCAATTTTTTCAGCCTCAATTTTTGTAAAATGGGACTTGCCATAGTACCTATCTCATGGAGAGTTGTGAGGACTGAGATAATGTATATAAAACGCTTGGCAAACTGTAAGTGTGTTGTGAATGTTAATTATCATTCAGTACACTTTTGGATAAATGGGTTAGCTCCCCACATTCCTATCCTGTAATCTCGGGTTGCTGCAGTGGGTTATCAACACAGAATTCAGAGCCTGTTTCAAGGTGCTTTATGTTCTGTGTTAAATAAATATTTTCTGGTTAAAAGGGAAAAAATTGGAGAATACACCCAGCAGGCTATTGATGGTGCCCATAGCTACAATCTGAGGAAATCAGTGAATATACTATGATCTTTAAAAGGTAGATCACTTAAAGGGAGCCAGTTTAATAACTGCTTTCAACTTTGTAACACTTAAGTCTGATGCTTTTACATTCAACCTCTGATTTCCCCAAGCTAGCTCTCGAACCCTTGGCCTTACGGAACATCTGTTTTTCTTTTCCAGTCTAGGGTGCATCTTCAAAGATTTAATGTGGTTCTACTTTTTCCAGAGCCAGAATTAATTCTGATCTGACCCCAGAGGTTTTTTTTGTTTTTTTTGTTTTTTTTTTTCCTTTTTGTCTTTTTTACTGACCGGTAACGGGATCGCAACCCTCGGTGTCACGCCCGTACTGGGGACTGGCAACGGGATCGCAACCCTCAGTGTTGCGCCCGCACCACGCTCAACCAGTGAGCCGGAACCGGTCTCCACATGGGATCCGAACCCTCGGCGGGAGCGCCACCGCACTCCCAAGAGGCGCACTTTCCATTGCGCCACCGGGCCAGCCCTGACCCCAGAGTTTAAAACCTCTTTAGCAAGTCTCCTTTACAGTTTCTGAAGGATGAAAGTCCCCATAGGTATTAGTCCCCGCTCTTCTGTTTTTTTCTTTTCTTTTCTAATTTTCAGTAATACATTTACTATTTCCATTCCCAACAACCTTTGGATCAAACCCTGCCTCTTTTTTACCCCCACAGGAAAGCAGTATTTCCCCTCAGTTCTTATTTCTACCTCCAGGCTTGTCATCATTTCCCAGAACCCTTGTTTTCTGACAGTTTTATGCTTGTGTTTGCATGATTTGAGATAACCCTATCAAATCAGTTCTTGGATCATTTAAAATATTAACATATCTGAATACCCTCATTACCCTGACATCCCTAAAGTACTCTTTATGTCTCCAATAAAAATTGGAGATTTACAATATACATCAAGCTTTGAGTGGGAATTTTCTCCATAGCACTTTGACCATTCTTCCAAGTCTAGGGTAAGCTTGTTTCTGGGAAAGGTAGAGAGAGGGTTTGGAAAATAGTGGTTAGGAAAAAAATCATAGGGATTGACGTAGAAAGAGAAGGAAACAGAAGTCAACGTTAGCTCCAATGTTGCATGACCTTGCATTTTTGTTTCATTTCCTCAAAAAATATTTTTTGACACATAGATACTAAATGTGGATATGTCCACCAACTAAGCAGGAGCAAGTCTGTAATGCTAAAGTCTCTAAGAATTTGGAGATGTCCCCTGGTGCTTACTATGGGTAAGATAGCAGGGACTACCATTGCTCTGAGACGTGGAGCCTGCCCCAGTGCCTCTGACTGGATTTTAAACTCTTTCAGGACAGAGAAGGGTCTTGTTTCTTTTCATATCTCCCACAGTGCCCGACAGTGCTGGACCCATAAAAGGTCTTTAGTCAATATTTGTTGAATTTGCTAAACTTCAACATCTGTGTTAACCACTCATCTATCTTAATGTGGTAGCGCAGCACTCAGTGCTCATGAGAACTCAAATTATTTTCTGGGATTACATTTACTCTTAAAATATTGGCATTTCGGCTGGCCAGTTAGCTCAGTTGGTTAGAGCCTGGTGCTGATAACACCAAGGTCAATGGTTCAGAACCCTGTTTTGGCCCGCCCCCAAAAAAAAAAAAAAAAAAAAATACTGGCATTTCATTTTTTTTTTTTTTTTTTTTTTCCTTTTTTGTCTTTTTTCGTGACCGGCACCGGATTGCAACCCT